TCTAGTTGTTTTGATCTTTGTGCTGCAATAATCAATATGAATAAAGTCTCTTTTTTAATAACGACCAAAACCAAAATGAACAGATGACTGAGTCTGTCTCAATATGGCTTAACAGTCATTATGACTGTCTGTTTATAAAGTGCTGAGTTAGTTTTAGATTATATGTAACTAGAAAAGCACCTTCTAAAAATATTTCCATTTTGTTTTGCATGTCAGCATCATATTTTCCCAAAGTCTTCAGAGTGTATTTTGGCAAACCTCAGATTAGATTTTGTTTTTTTTTTAAGACTGGCTATTACTTTGGTTTCAAATCTCCCAAAGAGGATTTGTTTGCCCACTCTCTTTCTTTTATTATTTCGGACTCTGACCTTACATGAAGAGAAAAACATCTTCAGTGCTTTAGACATTTCATGTTGATTTGTGTCCTTCGAGTTGAATCACTGGTAAGCTATTGGAGTCATTGTGTTCACTGGCCTCTCATGGTAATGTAAACATTTTCTCCAGGTATCAATGATGACTCTCACTTTGATTTAATGGTGCCTTAGAGTCTTAGAATGGCTTTGTTATACTGTACACTCTGGATTAACCATGATTTTTTTTTCTTCTGTTCTTGAATTCTTTTGTAGAATGTGTTACTTTCTGAGATATTTCAGGTTCCTGGGGGATTCTGTTTAGATTTATCATATCTAAAGGTCAGACAAAAAACCTAGTCTGGTTTTCAGGTTAGCATTCTAGAAAAGAATGTTTAATCAGAGTTAACTCTTTTTTCCATATTTGATCCTTTCAGCTATCATCAGAAACTTTAAAAGCTGGTGGAAAGAATAATAATCAAACAAAAACAATATATAAAACTAAATAGATTTTTTTAACATCAAACAGTAAGTGTGTCAGGACTCCTGTTTTGTGTCTGTGTTTTCCGTGTTTGTCTCCCTTCCTCCACCAGGAGGCGCCTGGTTCTGGTCCACCTCCTCACACACCTGCGGATGGTTTCCTCGTTAATTGGAGAGCTCTTAAGCTGCTGACTGTCACTACTTCGACGTCAGAGTGTTTGCCAGTTTAGGGTACTCTAGCCAAGCTGAGTTTGCTGAGTCAAACTGAGTGTTTTTCAACCTGAGTTTAACTTTGTTTTGTCTTTGCCTCTTGGCAGGAGGTTGTCCTGCTAACGGGATCTCTCGGACCTTCACACCCTGGAAGGATCAACTGAGCTTCAAACTGAGCTGAGATTTAAACAGGAGGTTTTGACTCACTTTTCCCAAGAGATCGTTTGAGCTCTCACTGAGAAAGGGATTATTCTCCACAAGGACCCGTTCAAGTACCGCAGGAAATCTGGGTGGCAGTCAGTATCTCCGTTCTCCAACTATCAACCGCATTCTGGGTAAAACCTGTTCCGCCCTCCACCGAATCAGACAAACACTGGAACCATGACACACAGACTGGATTCAAGGATTCTACAACTTCACTGGAAACGTGAGTCGGCAACCAAATCCTCTTCTCCAAGTTTCACAAGTCTAATTCCCCACTGAGCCTGAACTAACCACTGTGTCTTCCCCTCACTTTGCAGTTCCGGTTGAGCAGTGTTCAGAGCAACACTTCTTCCCCTGTTTACTTCTTCAATAAAACCCGTTAAACCTTTTCCCTGGACTCTCTGTTCGGTTTTCTGCATTTTTGGGTCAGAACTTTAAAACATCATGACAAAGTGTCTCTGTCTTTGTTAAACACAGTCATAAATCATAAATGGAGAACTAAATTATAAGCTAACATAATGTTGATATCAATTATAGGCATTTGGTTTAATAATGTGTAAAGTCTGTTAACTATGAATGAAACAGTTATTATATATAATAAATAAAACTCACTGTATTGATCCAGAGACTGGCAGTACTGTCCATCAGCAGGAATGCCANCACTACTTCGACGTCAGAGTGTTTGCCAGTTTAGGGTACTCTAGCCAAGCTGAGTTTGCTGAGTCAAACTGAGTGTTTTTCAACCTGAGTTTATCTTTGTTTTGTCTTTGCCTCTTGGCAGGAAGTTGTCCTGCTAACGGGATCTCTCGGACCTTCACACCCAGGAAGGATCAACTGAGCTTCAAACTGAGCTGGGATTCAAACAAGAGGTTTGGACTCACTTTCCCCAAGAGATCGTTTGAGCTCTCACTGAGAAAGGGATTATTCTCCACAAGGACCCGTTCCAGTACCGCAGGAAATCTGGGTGGCAGTCAGTATCTCTGTTCTCCAACTATCAACCGCATTCAGGGTAAAACCTGTTCCGCCCTCCACCGAATCAGACAAACACTGGAACCACGACACACAGACAGGAGTCAAGGATTCTACAACTTCACTGGAAACGTGAGTCGGCAACCAAAACCTCTTCTCCAAGTTTCACAAGTCTAATTCCCCACTGAGCCTGAACTAACCACTGTGTCTTCCCCTCACTTTGCAGTTCCGGTTGAGCAGTGTTCAGAGCAACACTTCTTCCCCTGTTTACTTCTTCAATAAAACCCGTTAAACCTTTTCCCTGGACTCTCTGTTCGGTTTTCTGCATTTTTGGGTCAGAACTTTAAAACATCATGACAAAGTGTCTCTGTCTTTGTTAAACACAGTCATAAATCATAAATGGAGAACTAAATTATAAGCTAACATAATGTTGATATCAATTATAGGCATTTGGTTTAATAATGTGTAAAGTCTGTTAACTATGAATGAAACAGTTATTATATATAATAAATAAAACTCACTGTATTGATCCAGAGACTGGCAGTACTGTCCATCAGCAGGAATGCCATCAATGCATCCACATGTGTCACCAGTGATGTTGTCACATGATCCATATGTTTGACACTGGTCACATGGCCAACGATACTGATCCTCACATCTGCACTGGTAACCACCACTGATTGGAGAGCAAACTGGAGGAAAAACGTTTAATAAATTACAGAAATAAGTATTCAGACTTTTAACTTCAATTTATAGTTAAACTATTCAAAGAATCTTAAACTTGGTCAAAAAATGAATTTACTGACAAAGTTTCAGGAAATAAGCCAGACACCTTTTTTGACATGTATAAAAAACCCTTCACAAACAATAAACAGTTCTGTATAATTTTGACAATTATTGGTTAATTATTACAACCTCACTATTTTATCTAAATATTTTTTTTTTCTAAAGCTTCTGGCATTAAATGCAAAAATGTCACAAAGGTTCCTTAAGTCTGTTAACCAGACTTAAAATCATTTAAAAATATTTCAGATGACAAAGCAGATTCTTTTTAAAAATCGAATGTATTTCAGTAAGTCATTCACATGTTTTTTAATATTTAGAAAACTATTTGGTTTTAAAACCTACTTTTAAATGAAAATTAGACTTTAATTTTAAAACCATTCTTCCCTGCTTTACCTGTAGAGATGTTGACATCAGAGACATGTGCGTTGCTGTTGATGCTGACAGGGTAGCTGATGCTTCTAAGCTCTTCTATAGCCGTAACATCTGAGAAGTTTAGCTCAACAGACAGCAGGAATATAATGATGACTGATGGAGCTGTAGATGTTGGAATATGAGACAATCATGATTAATATTTATAAAATA